GGAGGGGAGGAAGGGAAAACGGGAGGAAGCGCTAATGAGGCTGGAGCCGTGCTGGAGAGTCCAGATTTGGGATGGGAGAAAACTGGTGAGGAATGGGGAGCTCTGGGGCAGGCCCCATCTCAGGAAACCGGGGGGGATGAAAAGGCAGAGCTGGGAGAAGGCGAACAGGACGGGGGCAGTGTGGCCGAGGAGCGTGAGGCTGGGGAAGAAAATAAACGGGGGTGTTTGGGGCACAGAGGTGTGGAAGAGCGGGGTGAGTCATGCGCAGGGTCTGAGGCTCAGGAGGGGGGCTGGAAGGAGCTGGAAGGGGTCCTGGAAGGTGGGAATGCCGAGGGAGGAAAGCAGGGTGAAGAAGAGGACGGAGGAGCCGGTGAACCTGACGGCGAGCCGGAGGGGGCCGGAGGAGGCCAGCGTCGATGTGGCGGCCAGCAGGAGGGGCACCCCATGGGGGAGTCAGTGAGCCAGGAGGGGCTCCGTGGCCCGGAAGAGGATGCGGCAAGTGGCAGTGGGGACTCGGTGCAGGTCACTCTTGGATCCCGGAAAGCTGGTGCGCCAGAGTCGTGAGTTACCTTTCTTGCTCCCTCTGGCTCCTTGGTGTACTGGGGGGGCTGGGGGCTGTTTTCCTCCCATGTTCCCTCTGGGGGACCACCCTCATCTTCTGCCTTGCTTTCAGGGGAAATGGTGCGGGCAACCCGGCCTCTGATCTGCAACTTGAAGACCCCCGGGAAGCCACGCCAACGCAAGAAGGTAAGTGCACACCAGTTCCATGCCAGCACTCGATTCCACATCCACCTTCTGCCTGCACAGACCCCATGTTGGAATACAGGCAGCAGCCCCATAGGGAGGGAGGCCGTGGGTCCAGCCAGGTCGGTGTCATCTATAGGGAGTGATCAAAACCCTCCAGGGTTTTTTTCCAGCCACACTAGAGTTGCTTTAGGGAGTACGCCTGGATATTTTTGCATGTAAAGCCCTGACCTACGGCCTTTCCCCTCAACATGAATTAAGATCCCGGTCCTCAAGGTTCTGGATAAAGGGTTGATTTAAATAAGAATGTCAGAACTGGCTTTATTCCAAGTTGGACCCTCAGTCCTTCCAGAGCTTGTGTGGTACTCCCTGGCCTTCCACAACGTGGTGCCTTCCAGATGGCGTTGGACTACAACAGCCGTCATCCCCAGGGACACATCTGGAGAGTTTCAGATTAGCCACATGGTACTTAGTCAAGCCAGATTGTATCCAGGACGCAAAGGAAGGGTTGTCTCTGTGCCTGTATCACATTGTTTTTGTCCACTCAGGCTTGTCCCAGCTCATCTATTTCCTCTGCTCTCACAGAGTCTGTTGGTGAAGGAGAAATAGAGGAGGAGGAGGAAGAGGAGGAAGAAGAGGAGGAGGAAGAGGAGGAGGAGGAGGAAGAAGAAAGAGAAAACAGTGAAGCTGATACAGACATTGAAACTGCCCTAGCTCCCTGCTCCAACCAGCCAGAATCTAGGTGGATCTTCCTTGAAACAGCCCTAGCTCCCTTCCCTGGCTGTTTTATCAATTCTGTGCTTTGCATTCTACTCTGTTTTATTCTTTGGGATAGATGTGCTTTATTTTGTTAATTTAATTTAATATTTTCTATTTTCTATATAATACTATCGCTCCCATCCTCTGCATTTGGAGGCTCATCCACATCCCTGAGTGAAGGATGATGGTTAATGCCTGCAGCTCCTCTTGAACTCTGGGTTTTATCTAGACAGCCATTTGAGTCTAGATTAACTCTGGGGGGAGGGAAGGGGGCTGGAATCGGGGTAAGTGCAGCCCCAAATCTCCTCCCATTCTGGCCCCCCATCAGCTCCTCCCCCACCTCACTTGCATTCGTCCATCTCTTCCATTTCGGTAACCCCAAATCTTCATCTCACAAGGGAGCTGGAAAATATTCACGCATAGCTTTTGATCTTTGATTCAGTCTTTCTCTGCAAACAGAGAGTTTCTCCTGAGCTAAAATCCACCAGCTTTTTGCGTCTCTCTGGCTATGGAAGAGGGTAGTTGACCAGACTCTGAATCCAGGCAAAGATGTGATAATAGCGTGCCATCTACTGGTGTGAAGCACAATTTGTGACACCGAGGATCTGTGACGCATGCGCCTGGGGAACAAGTCCCCCTTCACCTTGGCAGTCTTAACTCCCAGGCCAAGCTTAAGATGAGGCTGCAAAAGTTCTCCAACCGGCTCCCTTTGCCGTGATCCACCTGAGGTCATTTCTGACTCTGGACTTGCTGGTCCGACTGGACGGTAAAAACCAGGTTTGCTGAGGATTTTGTCCTCTGAGCTTCACAGGAGCTATCCTGGTGCTGGGTCCTTCTCCCAAGTCGGTCTGCCACCATGGATAGCTCAAATAAAGCTTGGGATCAAAGCTGCAATGGGTAAGGAACCCCACTGCCATAGGGGGCACCATGTGGAGGGGATTCCAGACCCCTTTTAGCCTGGCCATCGAATTCTTTTCAGGGAATTGTTCAGGGACTCATTGGTCAAAGGCAAAGAGGACTTAGGCCAAAATACCAGAATATTTTATCTTAAACCTCTCCTGTCGCTTGCTAAGTGTTAAGAGGGGCTTTGGATTAGGGTGAAAACCTGCACAAAAGCTTTTTGGTGTTTTAGCTCCTCAACAAGACCAGTTCCTCCTGTTCGATCCACTTTTACATTCCTGTTCTACATTCATCTGGAGGCCGGTGGGGTTGGGGGAGAGAGCGGTGTGGGACATACCTCTGTGACCTCGCAATCAAATCATTCTGGGAAGTGCCGTGGCACCTGGATCCCCCCTTTTCAGAACTGGTTTCTTTCTCCTGCTTTCCTCAGGGATCAGAGGAATGAAGGAGCCGCTCGAAGACTCCAAGGTGAGAGTGCCCACAGACTCCTTTTTGGCTGACTGCCAAGCCCCCCACCCCCTCTGGCTTTAAATTTTATTCCTCAAGGATTTTGCAAATGAAAGCAGCGATTCAGCTGTTCTGAAGTCAAGTCCAACCTTTTTTTTAGGTTGGAAAGTCTGATTTGTGCTTTATTTGAGGGACTTCCAACTCATTTCACGGGACGTCTTCCCCAAAGTCCTACCAGAACGGTGCCATGTGACATGGTTCACTTGCGCTTCCATGCACTCTTCAGTAAACTGCATAGTTCTATGCAGACAGCATGCTAAAGCTTGTGGGAGATTTAAAACACGCTAAATTGAAGGAAACAATTGATACCATGGAATTTTCTCCTCCACAGAGCTCTGGGATGATCCAGAGGAAGCAAGCCAAGAGGGGAACCCACCGGAAAAAGATGACTTTTACGACTGAGGTGAGGGGACACAACAGAGGAAACGCATCATCCCCGGAGCGCACCTCTCCTTTCACGGATGAAGTGTATCTTTGGCAACGAAGAGTCGCAAACGGATCGGCCAAGCTGATCTTGTGCTGCATCTTTAGTGCGCTCTGTACAGACTCTGGTTGCAATCCTGTGAATGTCATGACAGAAAAAAGCCTTTTTCCACCCCAGCCACCACCAGCAGAAAATAATAGCTTGTTTACTTGGTTCTTGTATGTGCTATCAGACTGCAAAACAGGGTACAGGAAGAGGCAGGAGCTGGTGTGAGGTCATCTCGGTGCCCCCAAAAGCACAAGATGGGCTCTGCAATTCCGTTAATAAACCGAGGTACTGGGGGCAAATTTAGGAGGGTGGCTGGTTCCAACTACACAATTCACAGCCCCGGTGGGAAACATTGAGAAACTGATCAGAACACGCAATAAGGGACTGCTCACAATTTATCGCACAGCAAAAAACAGAAAATCAATTAGACAAAGTCAAAGGCCCTACAAGAATTTCCTGAGGGCCCACCCACGCATTATTGTGAGTTTGCAGAAAATATTCACACCAGACTACATGTTTTACATGTTTGGTAAAACTCAGGAGAGTTTTGGTTTGCTTTCGCTACTTTCAGCCATAGCTATTTGCTACATTTCCATGTATCAAGAGTTCAGTGCCAGAAGTTCTGCCATTTTCTGACTTCTAGCTCTTACCCTGTTTGCTTCTGGCAACATAAACACAATAAAATTCTTTAAATGTCACTTTTGCATTTTGAACTTCCCATCCTATGAATAGAACCAGAGCTGATGCAACATGCATATATAGTTTTATGTGCAGTGTTCTCCATTTCTTGAGAATATAATGTTCCCAAAGTGTCATACAACAGGACAGGACCACCATATGTGAATATATAATGCTTGGCCCATTACAATATTTCCAAAGCTTTATGCTAGATTTCTACATCTTAAAAGACACCTGAATAGGGCAGGAAAAATGAATAACCACTACACAGGGTGAAGGCATGCATGTTTTCCTGCTTGTCTTATGGTTGCAGACCTGTGCAACTTTAGACAAAAAAAGATCCACAACTCCCAGCATGCCCCAACTTTTGGACAGAAGATCCACAGCTCCCAGCATGCCCCAGCCATCATGGGAGTTGTAGTAGTCTTTTGCACCTTACAAAATGTTTTCCCCTTAGTGTTGTATTCTGCTTGGCTCCAGTAGTACCAACTGGTGTGGACTTTGTGCAGGAAAAATATAAGAATAAAAAAACAAACACATTTCACACGCCATAAGAAAAGAAACTCTTATGGGTTTTTTTTTTATTAAGGTCATTGGGGTTAATTCTTTCCAATCTCGGAGCACATTCCTGGGCAGGTTTAGACAAAAATAAGCCCTTCAAGCCTCAGGTCGTAGGATTTACTTCAGTCTTGCATGCATAGAGTTGCACCTTCAATATCTTCAGTGGTTTAGCGCGCCAGCTTAGACATAGGAAAAGGCCTACAACTCCCAGCATGCCACGGGGCTGGCTGGAGCATGCTGGGAATTTTACGCCTTCCTTCCGCAGGCACGGGATTGGCATTGTCCTCGCGGTCATCGGCGCAGGACTCTTTGGTTGCTATGGAGGCGGCAGCCATTTTAGGCCGCTTGGGGAAAGTCCTCCCAGCATGCAGCGCGCCGCTGACCTCCGTGACCCAAGATGGCGGCGCCCAGGGAGGCGGAGGATGTGTTTTGAGTGAGCCAAAGGTAAAGCGGGGCGCAGGCGGGAGAGGAAGGAAGGGGCTCGGGGAGGGTGAGGTACGGCAGGGGGAGCAGGTGGGCGAGGGAGAAGGAAGCGGCCTCCTCCCGGTGACCCTATTTCTCCGTCTGGCTCGGTGTTAACCACTCCACCCTTCCCCAGCCTGGAGCGCTCTAGCACGTGCCGGAGTGCAGGTCCCATCAGCCCCACCTTGAGTGCAGGTTCCGTCAACCCGACCAGCTGGCGGTGGAGCCCAAGCCTGGTCAGCTCTGACCGGTCCGGTTGGAGTGCAAGCCCCATCAGCCGCTGCCACTCCGGGCTCGATGTGCTGGCAGGGACTGATGAGACTTGCACTGCTACACACCTGGAGGGCGGCAGCTTGGGGAAGCCTTACTGGCAACGGCTTTGCGGGGGGGCGGGTCACGTTAAAGGCCTCCTCTCTGACTGAAGGAGGTGCTGGGGATTGCATCCGGGCCTTTTCAGGCCTGGTATGTTGCTTTGCCACTGATCTGTGGCTCCCCACTCTTAGACCCTGCAGGCTGGGTTGGGTCTCCAGAATCCTGGGATTATGTGAGCCTTGTCCTCTCTTTTTCTGCATGATCTTGACCATTTGGAAACTTGTGGTGCTTGCTTGCCAGGTGCTCCCATTCACCCCCCTTGGTGACTTTAGGGCTAATCTCTGACTCTCAGCCTACCCTCACTCACAAGATAAAATGGAGAGGAGGAGGGGAAACGTATATACTGCTTTGTGCTCCTTAGAGGGAAAATGGGATAAAAAATTAAAAAGAGAAACATATTTATTTGGATGTCATGCACATATAGAGCTTCCAGTTTTAGAGTGAGTAGTAGTAGTTAGTTTTGTGTAGTAGTTAGAAGGCTAAACTGGGGATGTGGAAGATCTGAGTTCTAGTCCCAAGGGGCCTTGTGCCAGTCACTCGCTTGCAGAGTTGTTGTGAGGATAAAATAAGAGTTGGAGAACCTTTAAGCTGCTATGGGCTTACAAGGAAGGTGGGGCATACATACAATAACAGTAATATCCATTAGTAACAGAATACTGTCTGTTCATGTCTGTTAGAACCTTGTATGCTGTGAGATTTAGGTCTAGCTCAAATTGAGTCAATACTCCTCCAGTTATACACTACCTTCCACATGGGCCTGATTCTGTTTTCCAACTCTTTCTCTTCAGCCATTGTTTGCCTTCCCTTTGTGAGATGGCAACTTTTTAGAATCCATTCATTCCAAATTTGTTCCTTATCTCTTTTCGTACTAATCCAGGTCTATCTTGAAGCTCATCCACCATGTCGAAGGTCGCTCGTGCCGCCAAATCTATCCCGAAGGTGGATCCTGGGAATGTGATCCGGACAATAATTCGAGCTGGACAGGCTGCACCAGGACCACCCTTGGGCCCTGTCCTTGGGCAGGTAGGCTTGGGAAAGGGCTCAGATGGAAAAGCTGCTGGAATGGAGGCTGAGGCCGTGGCAGCAAGGAAGTTCTACCTGCAGATGGGCCTGAAATCAAGAACGAAACCAGCTCCTTGGGTGGCGGGGGGGCTGTGCTTGGTTTCGTAGCGGGGTTAGGAATGTAAGAAGAATCCAGTTTTGGGGATCAAAATCTGGTGGCCCAGTCCCTTGTCTTCTAGCCCATCATTCCAGCACTGGAGAGGCACTGCTCTGATGCAGTTCAAGCCAGCATGCAATCTTCTGCTTTTAAGGCAGATGTGGTTTCTCTGTGTGTGGGCTGAGTACGTTCCGATACTCAAATTCCTGCATTCTGGATGTCTGTATCCTAGGTGTACATATCTTCTCCCCTTGTCCCTGTTTCGGGGTGTCTTGTGTTCTTGTGTAGACAAAAGTATATTCCAGCAAGCCTCTAATACTGTGGTTGGTGACCAATGGCCTTCCAGATATTTTGCCTTGTAATTCCCATCATCCCCAGCTAGCATAACCAATGCTAAGCATCAGGCCCAAACCTCTGGTGGGTGGGGGCATAATTATCCCTCCCCTACTTTACTATATTACAGCAGTACACCAGAGTTGCTGCTTTAATATGCATAACTAGCCATTAAGGTTTGAAACGTCTGCTGGTACTGGTCCTTCTGCGGGTTGTGTTTTGTGTTGTGAGGGAACGACACTGTTCACACGTTTAGAGGCACTCTTTCTTTATTGATTAGCACATTCAAGGGCTGAGTTTCCCAGCTCAAATGCAGCCCACTTCTAAGCAAGAGGCTGTAATTGCAGTACTTTGCTTCGTCACTGTAGGCTCTTCTCATGATTAGAAACATGGAGATGTGGCCTCCTTTTAAGGAGTGCGATGTTTCAGCAGCTGGGAACATGGGCGCAGGTGGGAAGGAGCCCGGCTGCAGGAGGGAAACCTTTTCTGTTCGGTGGACGCAAGCATTGTGTCTTGTGGGCATCCTCTGTGGGGCAGAGTGGCACCGTGTGAGGCTTGGATCACATGGGGGCAGTCCTTTACCCACCCAAGACACGTAAGAAAGCAAATTCATTTTCTGAGCTCAGAAAAAGAATGTATAAAAACAAAGCTGGAGCAAAATGGGGGAGGAGCCCGTGCCCCAGGTGGTCTGCAGGTGGCCTCTGGGTCTCCGTCCCGGGATCAGTTGCGGCAGCCTTCACCGACTCGGTGCCCTTGGAATCCGGCTCCCAGAATTCCCAGTGAGCGACAAGAGTTGGCGACAGAGCTGCCTTGCCCACGCAGTGCTCTTGACCAGCCAGGCGTCGTTTAGTGCTGTCGGGGAATGCGTGTTAGCGGCACTGAAGCAAGCGTGGTCTCTGCCCAGCTCAGAGGGCGCGTCCCGGGCTCTGCCTCTGCCTGGTGTGGGCCACTCACCGCCCTTCTGACCCTCTCCAGGCAGATCTTCCTGGGTGGACACGGACGCAGCGGAAGCGCGCCAGGCAGCGTCCCCGGAGGGGATTCATGGGCCTCCCCACAAGGACTTGAGCTGCACATGATGGCCTGCGCGGAGGCCTCTGGAGGTGGCGGGGCCGGCGGCCGAGGGGGCTCTCGGCGAGGGTTGGGCAGCGCACACACGATGGTGGGAGGCCTGGCCCCGGGCGTGGCAGTGTCTGTGGAGCGGGTGGGCCGTGGTGTGGCCGTGGCTGAGGCCGCGGGGGTCTCTGTCTGCGTCCCGGGGGTGTTTCCGGAGGACTTCCGCCATCGCCTGGGCATGTCTGTGGCACTGCTGACTGGCGGCATATTGGTAACCTTGGCCGGGCGTGGCTGGAGCAGCGTCCTGGGCCCAGTCTGGTGCGGCCTCTCTGAGACAGGCATCCCCCGGGCTCCCGGTTTGTCCACGGAGCTCCCCGCCTGTGGCCTCGGTGTGCCGAAGGGACTGGCCACCTCTGGTGCGGGCGTGGCGGGCGGCCCGGGCCCCCCGGTGGTGCTGCACCACCGTGCAGCTCTTCAGGGCAATGGCGAGGAAGTTCTTGCCCATGAAGATGGAGGAGATGCGCTGGTCCCGGCAGAGCAGCAGGAGCCCCCCGCGGATGAAGATGGTGGCCACATTGACGCCGGCCAAGCTCAGCAGCGGGTAGAGCGGGCCGGGCCGCGGGCCGGGCACCCCCAGCTCGCTCAGCGAGACGCAGGGCAGGACCAGCAGGAGACCGTAGCAGTAGAAGAAGGTCAGGCCCTCGGCCCACAGGGGCAGCCCCTGCCTCTGCGGCTCCCACAGGCTGGCCTGGATCTCCAGCACGTCCAGCATGTCCAGCACCACCCAGAAGAGGCGCCCCCGCAGCTCGTCCTTCTTGCGGAAGCTGGTGGTGGCCTGGGCCATGAGCTCGGCCGCCCCCAGCACCGTGTAGAGGGCCGGGATGCAGATGCTGAGCAGGAGCGTCAGGGTGTGCCGGGCCAGCGGGTCCAGGACCTGCCCCTCCGTGGCGTAGTGCTGGTAGATGAAGTACAGCTTGATCTCCAGCGCGAAGGCGAAGAGGAACCACAGCACCATGGCGTGGCCGCGCTGGGCCACGCGGGGCTCGCCGCCCACCCACAGGGTGGCGTAGCGCAGCACCAGGAGGAAGAAGAGGTCCCCGGCCAGCGCCAGCGCCCCCACGCCCAGCCGCCGGGCCCCCGTGCTCTGCTCCACCAGGTAGACGTCCATGGCGCCCATGGTGCAGACGATGACCACCGCCGCCACGCCCGTGTGTGGGATGCTGGGGGGCTGCAGCTCCATGGACCCTTTCCGTGGGGAGAAAGCATCAGATAAAGGCTGGGCGTGGTGTTGTCCCCACTTTAAGGGGGGCCCAAAACAGCGCTCTGGAGTCGATGCATTTCTTCACCAGACAACCTTTGTTAAAGGGAGCTTTGCCCCCCCCCCCCATCCACACCGCCACACGGTCCTGGCACGTCTCTCCCCGCCTCACGTGTGGCTTCGGGCAGGGCCTGTGGCCGGCCACGGCATCTTGCCACGGGGGTGTGGGGCTGGCAGGGTTGGGACAGGCCTGGTTCTGCTTCTCCAGGGCCTCGCGTTGGCTCAGAATGCGCTCGGCCCGGCTCCTTCGCCACTGGCCGGCCGGCCTGCCTGGGGGACGACCACCGTGCTTCTTCACCAGCACCTACTTGAGTGGCCCGGGAGTGTGGATTCTTGCTCCCCTGATCCGGTCACCGCAGACACGGCGGTTCGAGGTTGTGGAGCGCAGAAGGCCCTGGAAAGACACAATGCTTTAATGCACCCCGGTCATCTTCACATCTTGCCTTTTCTACAAAACGCTTGCTTCACCCCGTCAGGTCCCAACGGACTGGACCCTTTCTGTGATCCCAGGTCGGGCCTGCACTTTCTAAGTGCCCCCCGTGCAAACCGGCTTCTCCCCCACTCCCCGCCAGCCGCAATATGAGGGAGGAGAGCACAGCATAGGGTTGTAGTGGCCCACAGAGCCCAGTCCGGCCTGTTCCATTGGTCACATGATGAAGGAAAGCCCCCCTTTGGCATTTGCGACTGACCGGGGCCCTGAGGGTCATGAGGACAGGGGGCTAACAGTCCCTGCTTCCCAGGAGGATCAGCCGGCCAGCCCCCGAATAGACCAGCGTCTTTCTTCCCGCAGGAGCCACCCAGGCGCTTCTGGGGTGCTCCTGCACTGGGCTGGAGAGCAGCAGCCTAGAGCTGCCCTCCCACGGCACACGGTCTGTTGTGTTCCTGGCTGCAGACAGTCCCTGCATCACCAGGAAGCGGACGCCCCTAAACTGAAAAGCCCCAAATGAGCGCCTTAGCCTTTCCACACGCAGGAGTTGCTCCAGCCCCCCGACAGTTCTGGTTGCCCCGCAGATTCCCGTAAAGTGAAACTGCTTCCAGCCCGAGGACCCTCTTGCAAAGGCAGCCAATGTCGGAGCAGAACCTGCAGGGGCAGGGCCAGGCCGGCCGGCCGGCCCAGCCCTCCAGTTGGCAAGGGCACCGGGTCTGCTCGCCCTCTGCCTTTAGATGCTAGAAAAGAGCAGTGTTTTCAGGGCGGAAGGCTTGATGCCCCGGCAGCCTGAGCCAGAGCTACTTTTCATGAGCACACGCCGTGAGAGTCACTCGTGGCCGTCGCACACGCAACTTGAGCGACTCCGTATTGTGAGCAGTGCTGTGTGAAGCACGCACTGGCCCTGCTCGACCCAGCCCGGGGGTCCACCGGCTGTCCCGCTCCGTACACGCCGTCGCCCACCAGAGATGCCCCCAGGCACAACTCACAGGCGGGAGACGAGCGCCGTGGCCCCCTTCCGCTCCTGTTCCCCAGCAACTGGTGTCCGGGGAACACCGCCTCCAACACCGTAGGTAACACCCGGACACCCTGACCATGGTCTGTCGATAGAGAGCCCGAATTTATCCAGCCCCTTTTTGAAGTTGCCCAAGTTGGTGGCCACCGCTACCGCCCGTGGCAGCGAATTCGGCAGTCGAGCGATGCCCTGCGTGAAGGAAGCCTTTGTTTTCCCTGTCCCGAGTCCCCACCATTCAGCCTCGTGGCTCGATGCCAGCGGGTTCTCGTGGCGGCGGGGGGGAGAACAAGCATCCCCGCTTCTGCCACATACGAGCGCCGATTTTGGGGGAAGGGGAGCCAGGCAAAGTTGCTACGTGTACGTGTTTGTGTCCCTCCAGTGGGGAGGGGGCATCGACCTTATCGGGAGGAAGCACCTTCTTCCGCTCTTCTCCCAGTCTAGATGGCGATGGGGGCAGGGGGAGAGCACGGCTCCCTTCCCTGAGCGGGGGGCTGTCCGATGGACAAGCGTCTGGAGGAGGAAGGCGGATGGGGGGGGGGCTGCTGGTGTCTGCGGAGGGCTGAGGGGGAACCTCCACCGCCTTCTCATTCAGGCTTCCCCCCTTCCCATCTTCATCGCCGCTGCTTGTGCCAGAGATGGGCACACAGCGGAGGTCCCAGCCCAGTCTGCCCCCACCCCCCCCAGCTGCCTGTGGCTGGTCTTGAAATGTGCCGCAGTCGGCCCCCTTCCCTTTTCCAGTACCTGCAGGGATCACCAGGAAGGAAGGGACGGGGGGCACAGACGGGCAGCGGCGTGCGGCTTCTGTCTTTACCGGCTTGGGTGCTCGGCGCCTGCATGGCAGAGATGAGGCCGGGAGGGGGAGGTTTTCCAGAGCTCCCTTTTGGAAGAAGAGGTGGAGGCGGCGGAGGCGGAGGGAAAGGATCTGTGTGGTGCTGTCCCCACCCCTCTTCCTGGTTTCCATTCAAGAAGTGGATGATTGGAAGCGCCAGCGCCAACAAATCCCCGTCTTTGCTGGCAATCATAGTTCTTCCGTCTGCATGAAAAGGGGCCGAGTAGGGAGTGGGGAAGAGATTCGATGCTGGACATCTCTGAGGGACTGGCATGCGAACTTAACTTGTCTTTAACTCTCTTCTCTCTCATGAAATGTCGAGCAAAAAAGGGAGAGAGAAATCTACCTAGATCTTCTCTACGTACATAGAATCACACACGCTTATTCTCCGGGGGTGGAAGGTGCGTAATAGGGGGATACATTTTGCACAAGACCATTCACTGGTCTACCTGCCGTGTTAATATTATTTACTGTATGCAAATGAACAGATTGTCGGTGCAAACGGATCCTCCGTACCCTTTGGACAGCTAAAAGACCAATATTACAAAATTGGAAGGATAACTACTTCTCCAGTGCAATGGACTGAGGCTGTCGCAGCACTTTCAATATTTGAACGGGTGGCAGAGGCGCCACTTCAAATGGATGCTTATTTGGTTCTCTGGTCTGCTCTTTGTGAAGTCTGTGGTAGTTGCTGAGAAATTCAGCGTGTTTCAGATGTGCTCATTGATGTGGATAGATTCAAATCTATGTTTATGGTGTTAAGTTAACTTGAAGAGGTGTATTTCTGAAAAATATCTATTGATTCACTCCTGTTCGTTTGGATGTGGATTCAGATATGAGGGAAACATTGATTAGCCCTGGGAAATTAACTGTGGGGAAGAGGGGTTGCTAGTGTGAGAAGGCTTCTCTGTCTCTCTCTCTCTCTCTGTCTCTCTCTCTCTCTCTCTCTCTCTCTCTCTCTCTCTCTCTGTGTGTGTGTGTGTGTGTGTGTGTTGGGGGGTGTTGTGGGGAGCTTGCAGGTAAGGAGGGGAGAGGAAGGCCCTTTCATGGGCTCAGCCCGAACTCTGGAGTGCTACACCAAGAGGTTTCCTTGCGAGTGTTTGCCCTGTTCAGGGGACTGCTCTTTGAAAGCCCCGTGTTTCCCTTTCCAGAGAGGCATCCCGGTTGGGCAGTTTTGCAAAGACTTCAATGAGCGGACCAAAGACATCAAGGACGGGATCCCACTGCCCACGTACATCACGGTGCAGGTAAGGAAACCTTTCCTGGCCGGTTTAGACCACGAGCTTTCCCCAACCAGGTGCCCTCTGGATAGGAGCCAGTGGGGCCTGGTAATCAGAAAAGCCATGGAATCATAGAACCGTAGAGTCGGAAGGGGCCACGCAGGCCATCGGGTCCACCCCCTGCTGTGGCAGGGCACCCAGTTGCACCAGCCCGCTCAGAGGGCTGCCCGGTTTCTTTTGGAATGTCTCTGGTGTGGGAGAGCCCACGACTCAGGAGACCCATGTTCCACTCCCCCGCTTGGCCATGAAGCTCACTCCTTTGGCTTTGGGCCTGTCATTGGCTCTCAGCTTCGCCCACCTCGCAGGGCTGTTGTGAGGAGGATGAGGAAGATTGCGCACTCCTCCGTGGGCTGCTTGGAGGAAATGCAGCATATAAAGGGCCAGGGTGGCATCGTGGTGAAGAGCTGGGACTGGGACTCAGGCGATCCGGGTGCGAGTCCCCGCTCGGCCATGGAGCCCATTGGGTGACTCTGGGCCAGTCAAAGAGACTCAGCCCAGCCTGCCTCACAGGGTTGTTGTTGTGGGGATGAGATGGAGGAGGAGAATGATGGAAGCTGCCTTGAGCCCTTTGTAGGAAAAAGCAGGAGATAGATAGATAGATAGATAGATAGATAGATAGATAGATAGATAAAAATGAAACCAGTAGATCTATTTAAAAACATCCTGGATGGCGGCTCCCATCATCCCTGTTTAAGCTGTCTGGGGGTGATGGGAGATGGAACCAACGTTATAGAGGAAATCTTGTGATTTGGCCTCCTGGGCGCTCAAACATTCTGAGTGACTTCCAAAGTTGCATCTTCTCCTGCATGGCAGGTAAACTTAGGAAAAGGAAGCTCCTTCATTGCTTTTGGATGCAAAGACAGGTTTTTTTCTTTGAGATATTTAGGATGGGAAATGAATGTCTCAGCGTTGCCTCCTGTGAAATTTAAATGAATTATTAGTAATTCTAAACGTCTGCATTCGGATATGAGCAGATGTAACTTTGTGGGTTAATCTAAGTGCGTCGTGTCTTGGCCCCGTTGCCGTCCAAGGGGTTTAAGACAAGACACCTTGCCTAGTGCAGGAACCTGGAGAAAAGACTCTGCTAAGAGCTTAGCTTGGAAATTGACCCGAAGCAAATAACATCCCAGCGTCACAGCCCATATTTTGGTCTATTAGCAATGCCTGAGTTGCCTTCCAACGCAGCCTCCTGTACATGTTTTTGGTATGTTTTTACCCTTGGCGATGTTCCGAGTGCGCCACCTTCTCGGCCTCCAGGGCGCAACCAAACAAGGTTTACTTCTAAGGCTACCAAGGAGGTTCCGGGATGGGTGTTTTCTTCTGCTTTAAACAATAATAATCACAGTGCTGCCTAGATAGGCCCTCTGGGAATTCTTGGAGGGGCTTTGATTGTGCCTAATTGATTTCCTGTCATTTGCAGTTCGGTGAATTGTGAGTGCTCTTTTTCTGTGTGGTCTGACCAGTGCTTTAATGTTCTGCCCCTGCATTTTGTGTAGATAGAAGCAGCCACCCTCCCCAGATTCCTTTCAACACCTCTGTTTGCTGGCGGAATTGCACCACCTCGTCTTTCCTTGCCAGAGATCTTGGGGGGCACCTTTGACGGCCTTGTTATCTCCCACTTCTTTCCTGTTCTCTGTGTTACAGCCTGACAGATCATACGAAATCCAGATTAACAAGCCAACAGCCACTTACTTTCTGCTCTCGGCTGCCGGGGTAGAGAAGGGAGCCTCAAATCCCGGTGAGGGCTGCGACGGGAGAGGGAATTTCATGGTGGGTGGGGGGGTGCAAGGCGCACATCACCAAAAGCTGTAGGTCCAAGATCTATCTGCTGCCCACCCAATCCCCCCAAGGCATTCTAGAGACAGAACTACATTCTTCCGCACAGGGACCATTTTATGACTCTGGCTTTGCAGCCCGGCGTGTCTTCATTTGGGCTGCTGCTCTGCGTTTTGTGACAGGCATCCCTGCGTTGTTATACCTGTGGTCACTGCTGCGAGAACCGTGTGAAGAAAGGGGCATCTAGAAGCCAGGTTAACCTTGGGTTGTTTGACCCATAATTTCCTGGTTTGCATGCCATGAAACAACCCAGGAGCAGGGCATTCTTGATTGAACTTGGGAATTGCTTGCACGTTGAACTTATCCTTGGGAATTCCTAGGTTAAGCAACCCAGGAATTGCTGCCATGATATACCGAACTCTCTCTCTCTCTCCAAACTCTCCCCCTCTCCCCACCTCCCTCTTACACACACTGCCTTTAGAGAGTAATGATTTCCCTTCATGATTGTAGTGTATCAGCATACCATGGGTTAAATCTTTCCCCGCTGATAACTAAGTCTTAGGAACGGCATTTCAACCTTTCAAAAGGAGGATGGGGGCAGCTGCAGGGGGACCCCAGAAAGTGAGGCCACGGGTGGCCCGGGGAGGGTCGCCTTTGGCCCCCCGTTCCCCACCCCTGTGCTTAAGGCGCTCCGTCTGGCTGTGCAGGGCAGGAGGTGGCTGGCATGGTCACCCTGAAGCACCTCTACGAAATCGCCCTGGTGAAGGGCCAGGACCCGTGCTTTGTGCTGCGTGACATGCCGCTCGAGAAGATTGTCCGGTCGCTCATCGGCACTGCCCGCTCGCTGGGCATCCAGGTGGTGAGAGAGTGAGTGTCTGGCTCCGTGTGGGGGCCGGGCGTGGGCAGGGGGAGTGGGAGGATCCGTGGGCAGCGGCGGAAGCGTGGCCGTTTGAGCCGGAGGTCCTCGGGGGACGCGGATGCTGCACAGGCCCAGCGTGCGGCCCTGTGGCCTGGCAGAGGTGGGATCCGGAGGGAAGCGCGAGCCAGGGCGGTCTTGGCGAGCGCGGCACGCGGAGGAGACGGCTGGGAAGGGAGAGACGGGCCCTCCGCGGAGCAGGCCGCTGCAGCTCTCTCTCCTCTCTTCCCGCCCTCAGGCTGAACGCAGAGGAATACGGTGTCTTCCTGAAGGAGCGTGAAGAGAAGTTGGCAGCTGAGGCTGCAGAAAGAGAGGCCGAGCGGGCAGCTCTGAAGAAGAAACTCGCCGCCGCCGCCCCAGTCTAGCTCTCTGGAACTGGGATCCCTGGAGAGCGATGGGATGCCGCCGGATGCTATCCCACCTTTTCTTCAGGCACGGTGTGGTGGGATTTAGGTCTCTCCCACGGCCTGTTTGGGCACCGTGTTGCCAGAGGGAGGAAGGAAGGGGGTGTCTTGAAGGCATGAGCCTGGAAGGGCCAGATCCTTGGTTGGGGTGGTTCTTGCACTGCACGTTCTGGTGTCGTCATTGTAAGTGTGAATAACAACCCGGAGCCCAGGATTCTCTTGGCTGCACAATTGTCTTTTTGTGTCTGTCTGATGTTATCGCTCAGGGATGGAGGAAGTAGGCTAGAGTCGGCATCTTTCAGGGAATTCTCAGAATGGTGTTTCTGTTGGATATTTGTGATTTCCGGCCTCGCCTCTCCCAGGAAAGCCAAACCCCGGCAGTGCAAAAGGCCTTCACTGGCAGAAATAAACAGTGATGGCGGAGTCCCAAACACAAGTGATACCACAGCTTAAACGGGCTGCAACGACCAAACCCGCACGGGAGCATCGGGTGCTGCTTGGAGGAATTGCTCATCTAGCTTAGTCTGCGAGTTGGCACTCCCGTCTGGTCCCCAAGAGAGTCACCCCCTTTCCCCTAATCGCCACTTGCTTGGTTGTGGTGTCCGCCTCTTTCTCAAAGGTAGAAACATCTCCCAACTCTTACGCACAAGTTGGAAGAGGCTCAAGTCGGTGGGTTTTGGCCACCCCCCTTGCCTTGCGTCCCTGCCCTTCGCCTTCAGCACTGCCCCCACTGGGATGAGGTCCATGAAAGTCCCCCGGACTGAAGTCCGCCGTCAGATTGACTCTGCAGCAGCCAGTCGTGGCTTCCCAAGGCTGGTGATTCCAGTAGCGGAGGAACAGTGTATCCACTCCAGGTTTCACTCTGAACTTCAGAGATGCTTTCTGTAGTGCTGAACCATAGCTCCAAAATAGCTGGGCTGCTTGGGAGCTGGAGCAAAAGCAGCTTCAGAATAACGTCGTGCTTTCGGGGTACAAGTCTCCCCCTCTCCCCCAGCCTTGTTTTACCCTCTGCGAGGTTGCTTGCCCGTTCCTGGGGAGCAGACCCTCTCGGCTCTTGTGCTACCCGTCACGACGGAAGGAGCTTTCGATTCCCAGCACTGAGGTCTGAGCGCTGTCGCTTGCTGCGGGACTTGGGATTTGAGCCATGGCTGCATCTCCTCGGACGATGTCTAGAGGTCATCCAGTTGTTCCTGGCATCGCTTTTTGGCACTGGGCGTCTCGTGCGTCCTTCCTGTAACCCCAGTCATCAGTTGGGGGGTGTGTCTGGGAGAGGCAAGCTCCTGGTAGCGACAACCCGGAAACAGCCCATGGGTTCTGTGTGGGTAGTTAGCCATGCCAACAACCCATCCTCTCTGGCTTCAGATGACCGACCTGCAAAGGGCATAGCGGACTATGGCACCGATGCCTGCAGACATGCAGCAGTTTTTCTTCTATGGTCTTGTGAAGCTACCCATGGAGTCGGGGGGCTTGGGTACCCTGATGTCTTGGTGATGGTCTGGGAATATTTTGTTGCTTCCTCCATTGTGTCTCCTTAAGCTGAGGATAATTGCTGCACTCTTTGTGTCAGGCGCATGGTTTTGTTGGGTTAAAACTGCATAGAAGGAGATCTTAACATAAAAAGCACATGGTTTTAAAATGTGCACCAGGAAGTCCCCAGCACAGTCCCGTGTTCCCACCCACTGACTCCTTCCATGTCACACCAGCCATCACTAAAGGAACGGGGCCTCCTGCACCTCTTCCCTGTCATTTGAACTCTCTGTCCATGTCCTGGTTCCCCATTCGCTGTTGCTGGTAGTCGTTTAAAAGCATGTGGTGGTGCCTCTCTGGACACTGCTGGAGCCAAAATGCTCAGAGTGTTGAAGCATCCAGCAGGTGTCGTGCCGGAGCTGTAGCTCCGTTTTCCTGCTCTGCATAACACCCACACCTCCCTCCCTCCCTCCCTCCCTCAAGGTGCTTTGGAAGGCTACCCTAAAACTCGGCCCCTATTGGGAGCTTATACTCCTTTGTGGGACTTGTCTCTGCATTGGGCAACCTTTGCTTGGCATTAAATCCTGACTAATGCTGGACCTCCACCCTGGTACCCAGTTTACCCAGAGCTGCTTAGGATTCCGACTTCCTGCTAGGGTGGAAAGGACTGTTTCAGAGTCGGTGGGGGTGGAGAGGAAGAGAGAGTTGCTTGGGAGCTGGACAATTTGGGGCCGAAGTAGGGAAAAAGAGGGGACGGGTCTTTTTCTCCTTGACCCATAAGCCTTCCCACCCTTGTAACGGGAGGGCAGGCAAAAGCCTGATCTCAAAGTCAAACTCCTCAGTGCGGGTCCTAGATGAAAACAACCCCATGCCCAGCCTCAGAAATGTGCCACCCAACTGGAACCCAGCGGGTGGAGGAGAAATTGATCACTGGATCCCCAAATCACACACAGGGAGGCGTCGATTGCACGCTCCTAGGACAAGGGGTTCCCCGCTCTTTCGTTTCCTGCTCCCACATCCCTGTCCTAGAGACCCGCACACAACTCTGTGTGCTGCTCCCAGGCCCAGAAGAGTATTTTCTTGCCTGGTGGCCCTTCCTTCAATAGCTGCAAGATGGGTAGAAATTCAAAAGTGTCACAATGCGGGGCAGAAAACCTGCCCTACAGGATTTTTCTGCTGGAAAAATCCTGCCAGAAACCAGAGGGCGGATAGCGTCTGGAGCAGCCTCGTAAATCATTTCACAAAAGTCACAGCCCGGATAAAAATCGCTCGCCCGCTGGTCATGGGCGACTCCCGGAAGCAGCGACACTCCTTCCTCTCGGGCCCACTTAGTTTCTGCGCTGGTGGCAAAAGAAGGCGCTCAGGAGCCATTGCTTCTCCAGCGACTTGTTCAACTACCTGTGTGGCGTTGCCAGTGGCAGACTCACCTGTGGGCCATGTGAGTGGATAAACACGAGGAATGCGGGAAGTGATGATCTCAAGGCTGGCCCTGGGTCCAGCTTGCCCACTAGCAGGGAGCCATGAGCCCTAGCGGGGCCAGGTCAGAAATCTGATAAACAGCAGTGGTTGTCAGAATTGCAGGCAGAAAATTTTCCGTCTCTGCGTGGAGATGCTGAGACTCAAACCAGGGTCCTTCGACAGGGAAAACAGTCTCTCTAGTGCCAAGCAAAAGCCCCTGGTTAATCGCCTGGCGGTAGCAAACCAATGTAGCCTGAACAAACGAGGAATCTTTAAAATGTTTGCAGCCAGGAGTTTTTTTTCGGCTCTTTGAGCAAAAGAGCTCCAGGCCTGGCTGGCCGGCTGTCTCTGCCTGATTCATTGTCAGAGCGGCTGGGAATCCTTTCGAACCAAAGTTTCCTCCTCCTTCAGGCCTGGAGATGCCATTCAAAAAGCATCCCTGCCTCGGATGCTGGTTGTATGCGGTTGCTATGGCAACGTGATGCAGGCTTCGTGGGAGAAAGTGGTGACGCCAGAGCTCGGTTGCCTAGCGCTGCTTATTTTCCTTTCAGGTTTTTCAGTCTTTTCCCCTATTTTGGCAGTGAAAGGCAGACGGCAGCTGCGTCAGCAGCATCCCCCCCCACCCCATGCAGCCATCTTCCCAGCCTTAAAGGGACAGTACCCCCCGATGCAGGCTCTAGAACAACCCAGCAACGCCTGCCTGCCTTCTGCATGGACCGGCCTGAGTGCCCCAGTGCCGAAATTGGCACACCTGCTCAAATGGGATGCCAGACACATCCTTTGCGGCCTTCAAAGGCAATTCGCCCCTGCATGGTGCCTTTGCGACTGCTGGGAAAATCAGGCAATGGAGTGCCCAGTCCTGGTGGGTCCATTCAGTTGGTGCCAGCATGGGGCTGCCCACCCCCCACCCCAAAATATCCAGTGCTCAGGTCCGCAGGAGCAGAAAAATGCAGCTTTGCATCTGCCAGTTTGCATATGATCTGAAGCGCTCGCTGTGCATGTGTTAAAGGATCCTGTCCCCTAAAAGTGCCCCCATGTAAAAAGGGATGTTTGGGTGGGAAGAGGGGAGAAAAGATTCCTAGAGAGGCAGCAGGAGAGGAAGCTCCTGGGGGCCAAAATGGTGGATCCAATGCACCTGAGATCTGCAGGGTCCCCGGAACTTTCAGCCACTTTCCCTGGACAGCAGGCTGGTGGGAAAGATGCCCTGTGGGGTTCCAGCAGAAAGATTCGGGGGCCCAGGCCAGGTGGGTCATTCCTCAGCAATACCGCCGGTGATGTGGGGAGGCAGGGCCCCACGGCTGCTTCGAACGCTTTGCTGGCTGGGATCGGCTGAGCTGTGCACTTCTATTTGTTTCCAAGGTTTTAATTTGCTTCACTAAATGACGTATGGATATGGGGCTTGCATCTCTGGGTGGACTGATGTGGAGGAACCTGTGCGTAGAAGAATACGGAGTATGTGGGGTGTTTGCGTGTGAATGAATAAATACTTGTTCCGAGGCATTTGATGAGGTTCAGGTTCTGTGAGGGGCGTTTATTGCAGCCATCCTAAACAGGCTTTTATCAAAATTGGTTTTAGCTGTTGAAATGGTTTCAAGTCCTGTATATGGAAGCTTTATGCAGCTTTTTATCATCTTGCATCCATGGTGCGTGATCATGTGAATTGTTGGAAGCCGCCTAGAGAGCCTTGGCTCTTGGACCATGTGAAAATGATGGCAAGAATAGCCTTTGTGGGGAAGTAGTTATGGGTCTTGTGACCCCTAAGCCCCCCCCCCATTCCCAGCAAGCCCCAGCCTCCACCTGCGTGTGCACGTGTGTGTGTGTGTGTGTGTGAGAGAGAGAGAGAGAGAGAGAGAGAGAGTGAGCCGTCCGTCACAATTTCTCCTTAGAATCACACAGTCCATGCACTTCATTGCCAGCCATCAAGAGTCGACTCACCAAAGGTGGAGCACAGTAGAAGAAACTGGAGGTAACTACCTGGGTTCTTAAATCTAGTCAATTTTCCCTGAAACCATGAGGGCAAGAAACTTTGCCTTCTGAGTTTTCTTACTGTGTTGGCTGCACAGCTCAGCCTGTGATCCGGTTCTATAGACAATGATGCACGAAGCAGAATCTTTGCATTTTTAAAATACAGTTTGCATAAGCTGCCTTGGATATCATTTTAATAGAAAAAGCAACACATCGCGTTATTTAAAGTAACATAAAGACAAACAAACAGGACTTTAAATGTAATGTTTTTGTTCAGCAGCCCTCTGTCATAAATTGCCGGACAATCTGGGTGCCAAGCCTTTGCAACTATCTGAAAGAGGACCATCAGTCTGAAAAGCCAGAGAGCCAGTGTGGTGTAGTGGTTAAGAGCATGGGACTGGGACTCAGGCGACCTGGGTTCTAGTCCCCGCTCAGCCATGGAGCCAACTGGGTGACTTTGGGCCAGTCACAGACTCTCAGCCCAACCTACCTCACAGGGTTGTTGTTGTGGGGATAAGATGGAGGAGGAGATGTAAGATGCCTTGAGCCCTTTGTAGGAAAAAGGCAGGATATAAATCGAAAAATAAATAAATAAATAAATAAATAAATAAAAAAAGCTGGCACCGGCCTAGCTCACAGGGGATGGAGCTTTAGTCTTCAAGGAAGCGGAAATGCCCCTCTTCTCCGCTGCCGCGCACCTTTGTGATGTGCGAGTAAACAGACCCTGCTTGCTTGGTTTGGAATAGCACTGATGCTGCAAAGGCTTCGAACCGAGGTGGAGATCCCGGTTGGGGACGAGGTGCCCGCAGAGTCTCAGTGGCCCTCCAAGGCTTATCTTCTACCATGGTACACACCTATAGCCCCCTGGAGGTCTTCCTGCAGTGGGGCCGGTGGGTGGGGGGGCGGGTAGGCCAGTAGTTTTTCTTCTGCACTATGAATCAGTGTTTGCTTCCAGCTTTATGTGCTGTAAAGCGTTGCACTGCTTAGAGAATGTTGCCACCTAGTGACTGCGACTGGTACAGCGGGCTTCAAACGCAAGGACACTTTTAAATTAATTACAATAAACTTGGATTAATGAAATTTAAAAACAGAATAGCTCTGAGGAGCAGATCCACAGCGTTTCTGTTTCATGCAAATTTCCTAAGTCTAGGTTTCACGGTCTTGGATTGTGGGGCTGACAGACAGACAGACAGACACACGTCCTCTTCTTATTGTGGGGGTGCAAGGAACAAGGGGATGGGTCCTTGCTGCACAGTTTATATGATTTAGACTTCAACACCTGGGAACAGCAGCAGGAGAAAATGAAGGGGAGGCAGTGGTGGTGTAGTGGTTAGAGCATTGGACTAGGACTTAGCAGAGCTGTCCCTGCTTAGCCATGAGGCTCATTGGGTGACTGTGGGCCAGTCACTCACAGCTTAACCTACTTCGCAGGGTTGTTGTGAGGATAAACGGAGAAGAGGAGAACCTTGCAAGCTGCTTTGGGTCTCTTGCAAGAGGAAGGAAGCCTGCTTATTAATGCAGCGATGCCAGTGATAATACTTATAAATGCCCTTTCAGCCACAGGGGCTTCAGTCTGGTGGGATGCATTTCATAAGGCCGTGACAGGCAGCAACTCAACAGGCAGAGTTCGATCCCTTCGCAATCAGCTGTGTTGCAAGAAGCAGCACCTGTCGGATTCCTGCCTCCTGCTCCTGTTAAGTCATTGCAGTGCCAGGAAAGGGGGCGAAATGTGGACCATGCACCGAGAGCAGCAATGCTTCCTACAAGCCCAGATCTGCCCCAAGAGGGGCTTGGCGCACCCATCCTTGGGGTCTTTTTGAGACGGGGACTCGAAATCTCGGGGAGGGGTGCTTCTCACCCATTCTAGCCCCCCATCGCTTACACACCCCCTGTGAAAATCTGCCTCAGTCCTTTTCCCTCGCCTGAACCTTCTTGTCCTTTTTGGTGAAGCCGTGGGTGGGTCACCATGGCAACGGCTGAGATATTTTCGATGAAGTCGGGACCAAGCTTGGATTTGTTCCTCGCCCTCTTTCGGTACCCCCCCCTCACATGTACCACCTGCTTCCCCCTCGTTGCAACCCAAAATGAGGGGACACCAAGGCGGGTTTAGGAAACACAGGTGTTAGTCCAAAAGGGGGAAGAGGGTCCGAATGAAGGAGCAGGAGTGGAAACATTTCGGGGTCGTCGTCTTTAGGGAGAAATTGGTGTGCACGAGTGCAGTGCTTTATTTCCTATTTTATTTCGTGGAACAGCCTTGAGCAGGCCAACGAAAGATGACAAAAAGTCTTCATTCCAAGATGTCAGTTTCCCATTTCAGCCGTGACTCTGTTTGAGGGCTGCCCCCCCGCATTCCTTAAAGGGTGGGATGTGAGGAGAGCGTGCCTCTGGCCATGTGCAAAGTGTCTCTCTCTCAGTGGCCACACACGTGGGTGCATGCACACACTCACTCTGGTTCTTTGGGGTGGGGGCACCCAGGTGGAAATCACCCCCCCCCCCTTTATCTGATCACATTTACGAGGCCTGATTTTGTCGTGCGTTTTCTGATACCTCAGTGTTTACGGAGGGCCGAATAAGGTGGCTATTCCTGTGAGAAACATGCTTGCCAAACGCATTTTCTAGCATTCTTGCTGGCCTGTTTTGTGCCCTGGCTAGGTGAAAGAATAAAAATAGCGTGCTCTCTTGGGTTATTAAAAGCAACAGATTAAAAGCAGCAACCGGTGAGGGGGCTATTTTACGCAACGGAGCTGCAGCCCCGCAAATATTTCTTTTCCGCCACGTGGGATCGTCTCCCTTTTGCCGTGCAGCCCAGCACCACGTTCCCCTCTTCCTGCTGCTCCACTGCGCTCGTTTCCTAGCCGAAATTAGCCCACAAACACCAGGCACCAGATGTGGACTGGCCATGAGCTTCCCAGGTTCAGTGCCATATGCGGAGCAATTATATGCAGAGCCCTTGAATGATTGTTTTGGTTCTGCAGGGCCCTGAAGGGATAGTCCAGGTGATCCTTCTCCTTCGTAGGGACTTTTTCCCCCCTGTATTTGTTATTTTAAATTCATTTTAAGGTCGTTCTCGTGGTATTTCTATTGTATTGTTTGTCAACTTCCCAGAGAGCTTTGGCTATGGCATAGTATAGAAGTGAAATTAATATTTATAACAATTTATTTCCAGGGGGATCACAACTGGGAAAAGAAGAGTTAACCCCCTTCCTTGTACACCTTGTCCCTCCAAGAATCTTTCTCCTGCCCCTTCTGCTTGGCAAGTGCATTAAACATGCAAAAGCAACTCCCATTGACGTTGGGGAAAGTTTGGGCTCTGAATCTTTTAGGTGTCTTGCTATGCCCCTGAAAGCAACTGAAATTCACCCAGGGGTGTGTGCGTGCAGTGTGTGTTTGTATGGATTGCTTCAGGCCCCTACGGTGGTGCTGTACCAAGCCTCCAAGGGAAACATTTCTCTTTCTGCCATGCGTTCAGCCGTAGAGTAGAGATGATGCCAGACTGGGCAGAGAGATGATTCCAGCCCAATCCAGAGGAAGGCTAGGAAGGGAACTGCCCAGATCCTGGGGGCGCTCGGAGAGAAATTCTCTCTGAATGGTGGAGTCACAGAGCCAAGTCGTACCATCTTCACTGCAAGAACCTGGTGGTATGCTCTGGAAAGCTCGCCCATGTGGAAAAGCAAACCGCATGCAATCGGATAGACTTTGGCATAACGTTCTCACCACTGGCGCTGCGAGGGATTTTGTGCTGCCACCTCTGTGTCAAGTCCCTTCCTGTGCCTGGTGCTCCCCGGCACTGTCAATGTGTCGGCCGGAAGCAGCGGCGGAGGGCTGTCTCCAAAGATGCCCAGGACTGCTGCTTGTGTTCCCATGACTCTCTGCAGAGCTGGCACGGTGGAAGACGAGGTGGGGAGGGTGCCACCCAAAAGCGGTGCAACCGCGGGCTCCGGGGAGCCTCCCCACCGCTCTCACTGCAGCCGGAGGTCGGCCCCCTACTCACCTGCCTTGTGGGAGGGCCGGCCGTGTCTGATCCATACCAGGCATCTTTCGATGCCCCAATTAAATCAGCGTCTTATTCTGAACCAGGAAGCCAGAGGCTTTCTTTCCAAGAAAAGCTGCAGCTCTTTGACAGAACCCTGTTCTCCGGGGTGGGGGTTAAAGGCTTCTGCCTGAAACCCAGGTCAGCCACTGCTGCCAGCCCGTGTCAGCAATACTGGCCTGCATGGCCCATGAGCCTGCCCAGTAAAGAAGAGCTTGCTAGCAGCGCTCCCATGCTTTTAGCCAGGAGCCCGTGCGTCTCCTCAGGGTGCGACACGCTGGCTTATATCCGACACATAAGAAGCACACGCAACTCTCCCTTCCCCAACATGTGTGTCCTCCCCCCCGCCCTCTCTGGGTGGCAGGGCATCCGTGTGTGTGCGTGTCGTTTCAGGTGCAAACAGTCCAAGAGCCAAAGGTATTTATATCCTCCCTTATTGGGGTAAAAGTACAGCTTGGAAGCTGCCGCCCCCGCTTTCGCTCTCGCTCTCGCTCCGCTCTCCACTGCAGTTTCTTCGGCGCTGAGCGACACTGTTGGCCACCCCCACAAGCTGCAGCAAAGGGACCGTGCATTACGGTGGCTGAATTGCAAAGCGAAGAAGCTCCTGCGTCTGTGCACTTCAGCCTGGCTATATTTAGCTGCCGGGTTGCTGTTTTTAGCTTCTTGATTCAGAACCCAAATTAGCAGTAAAGAGGTGAAGGGGGGGGAAAAGCCCAAGGAGGCTTGGAGACCTGCGCGGGATCGGGGAGGGGTGGGGGACTGGAGGCTTCTGGAAGTGTGGATGAGCAGGTTGGCAGTCATCAGCCCATCTGCCCCATCACCTTTGCTGCACACCCCTCCAGACACACATACCCCCCCCATTCCCCAGCTCACAGAATAATGAATGCTACCGGGGCACTGAGTCACTATCACAATGCGCTATGATTCACTCAAATTTAGGCTGAGCAGGGAGCGAATCCGAGGCCTTGTCTGGCACTCTTCAGGGCGGATCTTTGCCTCCTCTGCTCCCCGTTCCCCAACACACGCACGGACGCGGACGAGGGCAGGGCCTTCCCGCCGTGGGCCTTGGCTTGTCTGAGCAATGTCCGGGACCTTTAGAGCTGCTCCGTCACAGACCTGGGGGGCGGGGGGGGGGGTGATGCAGCATGAAAGTACCAGCCTTTAGACTAGTGGCTGCGGGGGACTTTTCCTTCCACAGCTCGCCAGGTCTTTTCCTGGAGTCCAGAGGCCAAAATCGCCCAACGGCACCAGCGCCCCAGCTTTCCGGGGCACCCCCACTGCGGACTTGTCTCTGGAGAGAGCTGCCCGAACAGTTGCTATTGCGCACCGGCTCTTCCGCCTCGGGCCAGCGTGGGAAGTGGGGGGTCGGGCTGGGCTGCTCCGCGGAAGTGCCAGAGACCCTCCTGGGTCACTGCGTCATCCAAGCAGGTCGGGACTCCTTACTGTGGGAGAAAAGAGAAGTGGTTCGCAAAACCATTTGAGGCCTGCATTCGGGGCATATGCCTTGCTTGTGTGCGTGTGCAGCACCTTGATTCAGCAGCTGTCTTTTTGGAAGCGCACCTGGCTTTTGCATCGATCCCCGTGGCCAGCTCCCGCCAGGTGTGTAGTCTGCAGGGGTTTGCGCCAGAGGAAGGCGAATGGCTATAGCGTGGCGATGTGGGTATTGGGCTCTTCTGGGCTCCAAATCTTGGGCCACTTAAGTCTTGTGCATTTACAGTGGACGAATATGCTTTCATGCACATGAGCTGACTCTACAGAAAAGCAAATTTTGAAAACAGTTGCGTTTCGTGTTGTTGGGGAAAAAGCCACTTGCTGAAATAAAGGGACCCCCGTGATCTTTAACTGCATCTGAGCTTCCTGACTTAGCTAGCTGTTGGGCTACTTGTGCGTCACCTCTGGCTGCCTGCCCCCGTGCCTGAGGTTTATTCCTGAAATCAAATACCCTCCTTTCTGCTGCGCAACCCTCCTTTTGGCAAATAAGGGTATCCTTAAGTGACAAACTCCTTCGTACACACACATGTGCAGACTGTAGTACATAAGTACTTTGGCATGTGCCAGTTGGGGCATTTTTGTTGTCCTGTAGGCCTGACCCCCAAGTTTTCCGGGTCCTCACCCCCAGCTCTACCTCGCCCTGCCCTTGGTGCAAAAGGAATGAGCAGCAGGAACTCGGTGTGGCTTCCAGAGAGAGGATTAATCGACACGACATGCAGTGACCTTGTTTAGCATGTCTTGAACCAGGTGACGGTCCTGTTGTTTGCAAACAGAAGGGTGATTGTCGACTCTGGCGTTAAATAATTTTACAGAAGTTTTCCCTTGATTTAGGTGGACATGTGCAGGCAAGCAGTGCATTTCAGAGCCTTCTCACGTGGCCTTACGTGGCCTTGTATAACTTCTCCATTGTGACCCACCCTTTCCGTTCTTTGGCCGACCACGGCCATGCCCGCCTTTACAACTGCTTGACCCTTCCTCGTATGTTAGAACTACTCGAAAACAAATCACTCTGTTTGCCAACCCTGGTTTTTTAAAACCAGCCCCTTGAGATCAGCAACAGATGCCCTTCTCCGGAAACTTCCTGTTGTGAGCCACCCCGAGGCTTCGTTGCGATGGGGGCGGGAACTTACTCACTCCGCTAAGAGGGGTGTATGGAGAAGCTCTGCTCTTGCCACACCAGCGTTTCGAAGTGTGCCAGTGGGGAAGTTCGGAGGCAAACCTGCGCAAAGGTAATAGCGGCAAGTGGCAGAGCTGTTCTGGCTGTTTTTACATAATGCACGCCTCAAAGCATCGTTGTGGTGCCGCTGTCTTTCCTTTGGCTCAGTGCGCGTTGGCAAACAGTTAAAAATTTTAATGAAGTGGGAAATTATTGCCCGCTCTCAAGCTCCCATACGAAAAGATAAGTGACGAAAGGAATCTGCTTTGCATAACGAAAGGTGTGTTACCCCAACACCCAGCCAAGTTGTAATAGGTCCTGTAAATTGGTTGTGTCGGAATGGGAAGGGCCCACAATTTCCTCCAAATTTGCCTATGATAGAACTGTATATTAATAAGTCTATTTATTCCATCAGTGATGAATAGGATTTTGCCAGAGACGGCCCATCCCATTAATTTCTCATCTGAAATAAATGCTTTCATTTGCTCTGAAGCCCGGATCATCCCAAGCTGATGGGGAAAGTATTTTTCTCTGCTTAATTGCCATAGAGGAAAACTGTCTGCGTGTTTGATAATTAATCCTTCCCTGGTTGCCAGTCTCTGCCAAAATTACCTTCTATGGAGAGGGAAGGGGGGCTTCCACTGGACTTACAGGGTTCTGTGGGAAAGATCCAGGGTCTTGGGAAATAATTTTGAGGCTGGGGGTCCCACTGGCTCACACCCAGCAGTGCCCCTTCATCTGGTTGTTTCTCGTCTCTCAGATGTTTTCCTGTTGATGGTGAGAAAATCGCATTTTTCCTGGCTTTTCTGACATCCTGAACTTCAGACCCTTTGCATCTTTTTCAGAACGGAACCAGTGATAACCGCAGTTGTATTACTGCTTGTGAATACTGAGCCCAGGGGAAGTCAGTGGAGGAGGGAGAAAGATACACAGGGTCAGCAAATACCTTTCCTTAGAAGAATCGACTTCCCACGAACAGTTTAAGGCATTTCTGCAAGATGTTTTGCTGTTTGAATAGAAGGCTACTGGTTTATCACTCATTAATGGATGATTTTGTTTACAACATGCCACCTCTTGCAAAACAGCTTTCGCGTTTCTCCTGTTGCTCCCTATTTCCTCCTGACCACAACCCTGTGAGGTAGGCCAGGCAGGCAGGCAGTGAGCTTCCTGGCCCAGTGGGGACCAGAACCCAGATCTCCCACTGCTTCCACCAGGAAGGCATTCTCCCCTTGTGCAACCACCATTTAAAGGTGAGTGTTCAAGGGGGCATTGCTGGCTAGGTGGGAAAAATCTCTCCCTGCCTCGTCATCCAATTTGGCGGGGCGAAGGGGTAAACAACACTGGTTGGTTTGGGAAGATCTGGTGCATGATGCAACCAAATACCAGAATGTGTTTTCTTTGAGATGATTTGGACGAGAAACATGCTGGCTGAAGTTGGTGCTGCTGAAATTTAAGCAAACCGTGGCCAGCGTTCGGACACGCACAGCTACATGCGATCCCAGACGACACTGCGGCCCCCCGGCCTCTCTCAGACAGCACGAGGGGGTCCCTTCCTACCCAGCTCGTCTCTCCCAGTCGCTCTGCTCTCCCTCGGCCTGGCCTCTGAGCGGCACAGTCCAGCACCGTGTGGGAAAAGCACCCGGCTGTGGTACAGCCTTGGAAAGGAGCCCATCTCCAGGAAACCAGATGCTGGCAGGAAAAGTCCCCAGACAAAGCCCAGGGAATCCCCCACTGCATATTCATAGCATCCCTGCCACTAAGAGAAGAACAGTGGAACCGGAGGAGGCACCTCCATTCCCTTCTCCCCCGTGCTCTTGTTTGCAATCCTTCCTCCTCCGTTCCCTTTCTCTCCTTTCCCCGGCACTGTCTGCAATAGGCCGGCTTTTAGCGTGTGGGTATGTCGGAACCCCATCCCTTTTGCCTCAGCCATGCCCAAATCCAGGATGCTGTCCCAAGAGCTTCCCTAAAATGGGAATTTGGTCCCCGAGCTGGAAGGAGTCCCCCGGCCTGATTGGATTCTCTCCCACCTCTCTCCGCATGTCATGAGCAGAGCTGGCCGGAGCCGGGGGTCAGACTGGATGGCCCGAGAGACCCCTTCTGGCTCGCTCAGTTTCTATGTTTCTCTCCCTCTATGCAGCCCTTGGAGAAGCCCAAGGAGAGACCGGGAGCCACTTTGGACAGCCGGTCTCTCCACCAGGTAACCTCCAAATGCAGTGGGTGATGGGGCCTTGGTGGCTGGGGATGTTGGGAGTTGCAGTTTGACAGATCTGGTCAAGGAAGGCTGTCATACAGTCTCTGGCAGCTGGCTGCTCAGAACTGGGATCCTGAGTCAATGGCTCTTATCTTTGCAGCCAGAGGTTCTCAATATTTAAGGTTTCTGGCTTTCCCAGGTCACCTGCAGGCCACGGTGCCTCTTAAAGAGCTTGCCTGCACAACCAGCCCTGCAGAGCCTTCTGCTGGGGTCCCTTCCTTCCTGCTGGGGAAGGAAGGGAGCTGAGAAGGTTCTGCTCTTGGAAGGACCGACAGAATCACATGCAGATCACTTCGGCTTTCTCACACACACACACACAAGCACAATCGCACACACATTCACCTCTCGAATGCATGCGTATCTCAGATTCTGAAGCAACTTTTCCAGGAGGTTTAAATCTCAGGGTAACCTGGTTGCATAAACAGGGGCTGTCTGCATTGCAGAAAGCTGTAATTGCATAACAGTGTCAAAAACAGTGTTCATTCATAACAAGCTCTTTCAGGCCTGCCCCCCCTTTTTAAAAAAATATGAAGCACTAAATGGGAGAAGATGAAAAGCAAACAAGCAAACCGACCCGGCATCTCCCTCTAGATACAGTCCGGGGTGAGTTTTCCTTTCTGCAGCTTCAGTGCCCACCCTGAAAAATACCCAACCTGCAGGAAAACTCAGCATCTTTCAAACCTCTCAGAATAATCCAGACTGCAAAGAGTTACTATCCTCCCACCATCTCAGCTTTTCTTTCCTTATATGGAAGGAGAGATTATGCAAAAGCCAAACTCCCTAATTCAGGTTACCTTTGTGAAGGGGAAAAAACCCACCCAAAATAGGAGGCAGAGAACTGTCATTTTTCATTCCGTTGCTCTGGCAACCATGAAGCCAAAAAAGGCACCTGCTCCCCCCACCCCAAAATCTATTTTTGGCTTTCACATAGGAAAGTGTTATTTAAGACCTGATTTATTATTTATTTTTTGAGGAAGTTAAAAAAAAACTCACCAAGTATTGTTTGCTCTATGGGAGAGAAGTCAGAATTCCTGGAGAGAAATCCTATATAAAGATGTGCTTAACACAAGTTTTTCTTTACTAAAAAGAAGCAGCAGGGAAAAGAGAAAAAGAAAGAGAATACATCAGTCAAAATATGTCTGAAAAAGAATAAAAAATGGGGAAAGGAAAACTAGGAATAAAGAAAACAGCTTGGAATGTTCTTTTCTCGTTGCAAATCAATGTTTGTACTTTTATGAGACCACATGAGGAACATTTATTTTCTTAAAGTTACTAAAATAAAACTACATGCAAAGAAATAAACACACACACATATATCAAGATGAAAGAGAGTCAGGCTAAGATCACAATACAAACACACCTTGTTTAAAAGAAAAATGCATTTCAGAGCTGCTTTTCATAGTGCTTGGGTGTGGCAGTTTGATTTTGGCATCGCCTTATCTCCCCGGTTTTCTCTTTTAATGCAGCAGCGATAGGTGCATATTAGTGTGGTGAGAGAGAGAGAGAAAGAGAGGGTAGATAGGAAGGAAGGGAGACAGAAAAAGGAGAAATAAAGCAAAAATGAGAGGGTGAGGAGAGAGACATGGACAGAAGACATAGAGGAAGCAAGCCCTTTCTCCTGAGAAGGAAGGGATGAGAGAAAAGGGGAACTCCAGCGCTAGACTGAACGTCTCAGCCTGGGGGAGAAGGAGGGCGGGAGGAGTGCATTGCGCATGAGACCAAGATGCGATTCCTGCACTCAAGTCCGTCTGCTCCATCTCCTAATTCGGTGCAGTTCTTCTCCGCCTGCCCCCTCCGCTCCCCCTCCCCTCCCCACCACGTCATTCAGGAGCCAGTGACGTAGGGTTCCCCCAAGCCCCGGGAAAGGAGGGGGCAGCTCTGCAGCCCATGTCCCTCCATTGATCTGAACAAATGCTCCCGCCCCACTTTCCTGAACATGGCAGTGCCCACTCTCCCAGGAGCCTATAAAAGATGGCAGGTGAGCCGTGGCTCTCAAACAGATCCACGGACAGGCTTCAGAGAGCGGGCGAGGAGCTCCGGCTGCACGCGTCCTCTTGAGCCGAGATGTACCGGTCCACGAAAGGAGCCTCCAAGGCACGGCGGGACCAGATCAATGCGGAGATCCGGAACCTGAAGGACCTGTTGCCCATCGCGGAAGGGGATAAACTCCGGCTCTCGTACTTGCACATCATGTCTCTGGCTTGCATCTACACCCGGAAATCCATCTTCTTCTCCAGAGGTGGGTGCTGGACGGGTCCGGGGGTGGAGGGAGGACAAGAGGTGCCGGGCTGTGCTCTGTGGCGGGGATGCCCGAAGTGGGAGAGGTGGCCTGGAAGTCAGCAGCCGCTGGACTGCCGAGGGTAGCCCAGGCGGCGGGAGCTGTCCGTGGTGCTGAAAGGCGGCTACCGCTGTCCCTGGTGCTGAAACAGCATCCCAACAGCATCGGATGCAGGGAGAGCTTTTTTATTATTATTATTTTAAAGGCTAATTTCCAACACCTTCTTCCTCCTGTCTCCTCAACAGGTGAAACTCCAGAAAGCTTGGAGAGCTTGCTTTCCTCCCCAGATCTGGAAGATTTCATGCAGATGCTTCCAGGCTTCCTTCTCGCGTTCACCGGAGAAGGCAAGCTCATCTACGTGTCGGAGAATGTTGCCGAACACCTGGGACACTCCATGGTACGTAATCTCAGGCTTGTGGCAAGAGAGGGGGCTGGAAGCATTTACTAAAAAACGGAAACATGATATGCCTTTGGACAGGAATTTAGTTAAGCCATGTTCAACTGCATCTATCTCTGAACTGTTTCACCTCCCAGTGTTCATTCCATGAATCCTGTGATCCGTTTAATATAATATAAGCCATTCATCGGTAGCCTGAAGTATTTTCTGTGATTAGCTCACAGCAGTTATCTGCCCGGCAAGGCTTGGTGAGAGACCAGGCTCCGTGGAGACTAGCACAGATACTTGCGGGTGCTTAAAACCACAGGTATTTGTGAGTCTTATCCGGCATCGCTCCCTTTTATCTTACAGGTGGATCTGGTTGCCCAAGGAGACAGCATTTACGACATCGTGGATCCGACCGACCACTTCGTGGTGCGAAGCCAGCTCACGCTAGCTTCCCCGACAGATACCGGTAGGTGTTCCTTCTTGAAATCGGGGCTTGTTCTGCAGTGAGGGAAGGAGAGAACGGATCTGCTGAAGGGCTCTGAACTAGACAGGCGTCTGATGAAAAGTTGGCTGGTGTGTGTTAGGAAGAGAATGCCACCAGCCAAGGCTTAATTCAGGCAGAGGATCCTTACAGCTCAGCCTCTGAAGTGGGTTTTAAAGACCTGGGGCCTAGTAGGGGAACATGTGGAAGGAAAGACTAGCCCAGGTGCCTTTATGAGTGTGGGCGGTTTATTTCCACACAGCCCAGCAACTAAAGCCAACCCCTGCACCGTACGGTTCAGGGGAAAGCTGTCTTCCATAGTACTGGAAAAACTCTTTGCCGGCTTTCCTTTTTAGAGAAATGAGGAGCAAAGGCTGGGGGTGCCTAGTGCTTGCTAGCCAGGAGAGAGAGCCTGGGAGGGTGGGGAAAAGCCGTGCCTTCTGCTCCCGATTAGCACAATGGTGTAGTGTGAATATCTACCAGTCGGGTGATGCCTCTGACCATTCAATGCCCTTTTTAAAAAAACTCCAGAGCGACTCTTCCGCTGCCATTTCAACACGTCCAAGACCATCCGGCGGCAAAGTGCAGGGAACAAGCTGGTCCTTATCCGAGGGAAGTTCCATCAGTCCCCGTCCGGCTCCTACTGGTCTTCCAACCCGGTCTTCACCGCTTTCTGCACCCCGCTCGACCCCAAGCCCAGGCTCGGTCCGAACTCTTTCTTCTTGTCCTCTTTCGAGAGTCACCACACAAAAGACCTGGCTGTCGTGGACATCTCTGAAAGGTGAGAAGCCATCCTGGGAACCAGGGGAGCCAGCTCTGCCAGGGGATATGGAAGGATCTGAGGTGCTTGTGTCAAGGCACAGGGGCTTATCTAACCAGAGGAACCTGAGAGTGCAAAGGCCCTGTTGGATCAGACGATCCAGCCCAGCCATCTTCCCACAGTGGCCAGCTCGGTGCCCACTGGAAACCCTCCGGCAAGCATTCGCCTGCCCATGTTCCCCAGCAACTGGTGTCCAGAGGTAGACTGCCTCTGACCCTGGAGGCAGCACAGAGCCATGAGGACTAGCAGCCATGAAGATGGGGAAGCTGCTAGTTGGCCGTACCAAGCCTCTCCTGATCCAAAGCACTGATCGCTCTCTCCCCCTCTCTCCCCACATTTCTGAAACTCTTCGTAGTGTGATTTTCTACTTGGGCTTTGAGAAAACCGAACTCTTCTGCCGGTCGTGGTACAGCCTGATCCACCCTGAAGACCTCGGCCATGCCTCGGCTCAGCATTACCGACTGTGTGAGTCTCTCACGGGCCTTTCCATCCCCGTCTCCCCCACCCCGTCGCATCTGCTGCGCCTGGAGAAAAAGAACACCTGACACTGACCTTGCCCTGCTTCTTTTTCCAGTGGGCGACGCGAGTGAGACCCGGGCCGAGATGGTCGTCCGACTGCAAACCAAAGACGGCATAAACTGGATTTGGATATATTCTGTGCTCCACCTGGAGAACGTGGATGTTCCTATCACTTGCCACAACTATATCATCAGGTAGATATGAGGAAACGTGTCTTTTTTTTCTTGTCGCTGAAGGTTTTTCTGCTTTTGCATAAGATGAGCAGTAGGCCAAACTATCCAAAAGCTGCTGCCAGCATTTCTGTTAGAGTCCTGCCTTGTGGGAAAAGAGGCTAGGCTGCTTTTCGATTGGCCGAGGCAGAGGAATGTATTTCCTTACCTGAACCATGAAAATGTACTTCTTGCTGCATTTGAATAATTGCTACAAAGGATCCCAGAATTGCCTAGATATTAGATCTACCCAGATGCAGTCCGGCAAGGCGGTCCCTCCTTACCGAAAGGCCTGACGCACAGGGGACAAGCCCGTCTGGCCACTTAGGGGAGTGACCCACCCATTCCTGATCTGGCAACCATGTCCCGCAGTGGGCTGGGCAGTGCGCAAGCGAGCTGTGGGACCACAAGACCCCTTGCCTGGATCCAGCCAGATTCCTCCCCGGGTACGAGGAGTTTATCACGCCGTGTTTGATAAGGACAGGCCCAGCCACAGGGCGGCAGCATCCTTGGCATTTCCGCGTGTTGGGGCTTGCCGGGTCATCTCACGTCCCCCTTCCGTTATCCCCCACAGCGATTCCGAAGCCTGGTGTCTGAAGCAGCAACTGTCGGCCGAAGAAGCCCAGGCGACTTACGCTCTCGGAAGTGCCCCCACGTTCCTGGAAGGCCTGCTTTCCCCGGGGCAGCTGTCCAGCCCTGACCAAGTCTTCACGCCAGCGGCCGGCCCCGCGGCCCTGCCAGCCTTCGATTTCAGTGCTGTGGAGTGCCCCCCGGCCTTCGCGGAGACGTCTGCGGCCTGCCCGGCCCAGGAGGGGGCCGAGCCTGGCAACACCTCCTCTGCGGAGGAGGCCGCCCCGGGAGCCACGCTCGGCCTTCTCGGCAAAGCGCCGGCGTTCAGCTACGTGATCTTCCCGGCGGGCTACGAGCAGACGCTGCGGAGAGAGCTCGGCAGCGCCGCCTCGTCTTCGAAAGACTTTGTCTGCACCCCTCCGTACACGCCCCATCAGGGCTCCGCCTTCCTCTTTGGGGCCTCAGAGCCGTATGCTCCAAGCAGCGCCGCCTCTGCCCCCACAGCCGCGCCACCCGTGGCAGCCACCCCTTCCGCCGCCCCGGCCACCAGCGTCCCCACGACCACCAGCACCACCTCCGAGCTGTTCTACACCCAAGAACAATGCAGTGCTCTCTATGAGAAGTTACCACCCACCCCCGACAGCCCCGGTAATGGGGACTGTACGGTGATGACCCTGCCGGAGATCCGGGGGCCCCTCTATATCGACGTGCCCATGGTGCCTGAGGGACTCCTGACTCCGGAAGCCTCGCCCATCAAGCAGACCTTCTTCAGATATTCTGAAAAAGAGAAGACCGAGATTGAACTGCTGGCACAGCAGCTCAGCAGCCTGGCCGAGACCTTCGGTGCCGTCGCTTCCGGGGAGCTCGTCCCGCACGGCCAGGCTGCCCTCCGCAGTTCTGCTCCAGGCATCGTGCCTGGACTGTGCCTGGGCATCCAGACCCCCGAGGACTGGAGGAGCCATGACTTCTCCTTGCTGGCCTGCCCGGAAGACGATCTCCTGGAAGGGGATGCCCTTGAGACCCTTCTCCAAGACCTGTCCGCCTCTCTGTTCGAGAAAGGCGGCACAGGTGTGAGGTGCCCTCACCACCCGTTCTGCGGTGGGAATGTCAGTAGTCCAATCGGCTTGGACACCGAAGATACGAGCCAAGAAGCCTTGGCTCCCTCACCCAGCATGGACCTGCCTCCAGAAGAGCAAAGCTTTTTGGAAGAACTGGCCTCTTACGAAACAGCCTTTGAGACATGTGCCTCAAACTCTCCCTGTGACGGGTTAGATGAGTTGCATCAACTCCAAAGACACATGCAAGAAGGCTTCCACGAAGGTAAGCGGCAGCGCCCGGGCCTGGTCAGGAAGAGGCGGCGGGGGTGCTGAGGCCTGGGGAGGGGCTGGGGCCCCACAGCGCAAGGCGAGGCGGGTTCTGGGCTCAGCCCTCGGCCTCTCCCACCAGTGGCGATGAGAGACCCTTGGAGGAGCTGCCCGAGGTCCTGAACCAAGCATGCCTGCATTCAGGACCACGGAGAGCCCCCCAACGGTCGGGCGGGGCCCTGGTGGGGAGCTGCCACAGGCACCAGTGCGACCAGCTTCCAGGGGCAGTGCCCCAGGTCTGGGTCCCAGTCCAGCTCTTTGGAGCTTTGCAGAAGGTCGCACCCCTCTTCACCTCCTCCCAGCTCCTTTACCCCAAACACTGCATGTTTGGTGATTTACTGCTTGTCCTGCACATGTCCCCTCCTCTTCCTAGAAGGCTGAAGTAGAACGAGGGGGGAAGGCTCTGTGCTGCCCCCTTTCGTCTTCACCCCATTTCTCCCTGGAATGTGGCCCCAGAGGGCTGGAATTCAGCCTTTGGCTGAAAGAAATCCATCGCCCTGCTGTAGATTCTTTTCCCCTCTACAGACACACTCTGCCATTTTGCCTGGGCACAGAATCCCACACCCTGAACTGCCCCCTCCCCACACACTCCCTCTTTGCAAAACAAGTTTCTAGTCCTTATGCCTGCAGAGGTCAATCTGAAACCACGCCGTCGAGTTTAACCACAGGCAAATGCTTCCTGTCCACTGACTCCTTTGTTCTTTGTTTTGTGTCTCTTTCTGCAGATGGAAGCGAAAGTGACCCTTCGTTTTGAAATAAGTCCGTGACTTACTTCTCCTAGTATGGCATATTGTCATATCCCAAGGACCTTCTTCCACCGAAACCCCTGGAAAGCGCTCTCATGTTGAAGCGAGAGGAAGTCGTGCCCATCTTCCTGGGTTCGGGGTTTTCTTTGAAGAGAAAGATGTTTTGTTCTTGCTTTTTTAAAAAAAACACAAAATAGCGAAAGTAAATATTTATATATATATATATATCTTGATTCTGAGACATCGACGCTAGCTAAGGGAAGGACCGTTGTAAGTGGACTTACACATGTTACCGTATTCACTCGTAGTGAGTAAACTTGTACGTAATTTACTAAGAAATCCCAGGCGGGGTCTTTGCGCCAAGGTGCTCCCGACAGCCATTCAACGCCGTGTTGGAGCGAAGCAACCGCGGAGCCGGTTGGCGCAAGATCGGGGACTCCTCCTCTTCCGATCTGTCCCCAGCGCCCCCCCAGAGAACGGAAAGTGTAGGTGGTTGGTAGCGCCTACTGCAGTACGGGCCCATGGCTGGTGACGCGATTCCGTCTTCTCTTCTTCCTCCACTGCCCTCCTCCTGACAAGAGCACGTCTCTGTTTGCCAAGAATTCTTCGGCTCGACTTCTCAGTTTGCTCCTTTTGGAAGCACCCTGATCGCTCGATTGGGGCTATTACGACGAGCGTTTTCCTGCAATTCTACACCCTGTTTGCCGGGAAGAAGCCCCACTCATGGGAGTTAACTTCTGAGCAGAAAAGCACAGGATGGTGAAATTCCATTTCTCAGCCGATAACCGCCCATGTTGGACATTCATGTGCTCCCACTTCAGTGCCTGGGGAAAGGGCCAGACCTGACAGAGAGACTCACCTGCATTTAACCGTTGCACATCCAAAAGAAACGGATCAAGGGATGATTTGAAAATGACGCCTGGAGCAGCCCAGGGTCGATTGTACTTCGAGGAAGCATCTGGGTGCTGAATTCTCCCTGAATCACCCTGACCCAGCCTTCCTTCCCCAACTCCTTTAAATCCATCGACTAGCAATTTCCACTCACGATCTCTGTCCGTTCTAGCCTCCCCCAGGTCTCTCTCTCTCCCCCTTTGGCTTCCAGCACAAATTCTTTTCGAAATCAAGAATACCGCTTTGCTCATAGAATAGTCTCATCCATTCTGGTCGAACCAAAGTGCTTCCTGTATGCAGCAGGAACTGCTATAGCTAGGATAGCAATGTCAGCTACTCGGAATTATTAAAATTGTGCTTAATAATTACTGTCCATCCTTATGGGAACCCCAAACTTCCCCCTCACCTCAGTGGGGAAGAGCTGTAGCTCAGCGACTGAGCACTTGTATTGCATCCAGATCCCTGGCAGGACCCCAGCAATGCTGGGAGAGACCCCCCTGGCCTGAAAGTCCTGGTGATTGACTGCCAATCAGTTTAGACAAGACTGAGCTACCACGGACCAAACATCAACCTGGCAGAAGGCTGTTCTCCTCTTCCAACGGCAGCTGTGCGGTGGTGGAGGTACACTAGTCCAGATGAACGGAACACACATGTTTATAGAGATAAATATCAATGGTGTGCGTTGTTTCTAATCCGCTATTTTGTAAGAGCTTGTGAAATTCTCCAGGAGCCTGTCCTGGCTTTTGTTCTGGACAAGTTCGGGCCATGGAGATCTGTGCTTTTTCCTCTTGTTCTTTCTTTGTCGTTTTGAAATATTTGGTACCGTCTCACCCATGGAGGTGGCACAGTCCCTCGGTGTAGAATTCTCTACGATCAAGTATCAGGATTGAATCCTTTGTACTTTTTTTACAAATTCACACATTGTCCGAGTGTGGGATGCTGTGATATAGATCTATATTATCCAGTAATGTACGTTGGTGCATAGAGACAGAGAACGCTGAAAAGTTTGCTTTCTCATTAAAAAAAGAACACACACACACAAATGTAACTATACTTGCCTTTTGGTGGAACTCTGTAGTATTTGTGTTGTGCAAATATTTTAGCCCTATGTTGGGTCTTGATATGAGTACTTTGGAATAAAAGTCAAAAATGAAACCATTAATTTAGTGTGAAGCGTTTTTAATCAAAGCGACGGCAGTGATGGCGTTCTCTAGTTTCTGTCAGGCCAGTGAAACAAACAGAATTTTTAAACAAAATGACATTTCATAAAAGGTCATTGGAATTGGAGGGGAAGAAGAGCAAAGGTTCCTATTTTGTATATACCCTGCCTCTCCACCAGGCAGCTGACCGAAGAGTCGGTCCAATCCGTTCACAAAGCTCTCCTCCAGCATCATGTTTTGGATGGGCTTAGGAAAAGACTCCTCTCTTGAAAGCCTAGCAACATGTACATAACCAATATAGGCCATCCTGTATTAAACAGATTAATTTAAGGCACTGTAGCATTCCTATTCAGATCAGTCTTTTCAAAGCAAACCATGAGGACTAGAACCCTGCTATCTTTCTGAGGGGAAGTGTTGCAGCTTGAGGATAGAGCGCATGCTTGCCGAGGTCCCCAGTCCAATCTGAAGCCCTGGTGCCAATGCGCTCATGTTCTGGGGAAAGCCAGAACCACCCTGTCCCCAGGAAGAGTCCAAACACAAACCTGTGTGCCGGCACACACTCAGCAAGCAAGCAAGCAAGCAAAAAGCAGAGCTATTGGAACTGAAGGTGAGGAGGTGCAAAATCGACTTTGGGCCCCGTTTATGGGTTCCCACGGCAGCATCTGCTAGGCCAACCATTCCAGGAGCTGGATGCTGCACTCGACTGACCCCTGGAGCCCTGCATCTCTCATTCGGAGCCCTGAGTCCATGGCAGCCCATTTGCCTCTCCACCTACCTGTCCAGGGGCACTTGCCGAATTAAAGGTGCAGCCATGACGACCACTGAGTCCCCTGGCTGAGCCGGGTTTTGGTCCACACCCCTCTCCCCACAAATCTTTCTTCCAGTGTTTTTTTTCTGGAATCAAATGCCTTGACCTCTCCCTTGTCTGTGCATCTCTTTTTGCAAATAGGGGCGAGTCCTCAGGGGAGACAGTCTTTGAATTCACGTGCACTGACTTCCAGGTGCATGCAGTTCAACACGGCAACCGTGCAGTCCTCGTTTCCCGGGAGCCTGAGCCACAGATCTCCCTGGGACCTATGCTGGCCCCTGGGCCTCTGGTTCGGTCCTCATGAGCAGCGCCAGAACACAACCTGGTATTTTCCTGAAGGATCCTCCGGCACCGTGTGCCAGAGCGAAGCTCTGTGGTGCCCTCTTCTGCACACGACGGAAATCTGCACACGGAGGAAGCAGGTTCTTGCCTGCTTCATTTGGCGGGAATTAAGTGAAAGGACGAGAAAGCTGCTTTCCTGCCTCTGGCAAATGTTCCAGCCGGCCACCTGCAAGGTAAGGCAGCCAAACATTTGTGCAACCCTTGGGAAGGGTTCTGGGGGCTGGCTGAAGGTGAGGTCAGGGCAGAGGGCCGGGTCGCCTCTGATGCTGTACCAAAACCTTCCTCCAAAAACGTTTTCATGCGATTTCCCCTGTACGACCCTTTCCTTCTGTTGTGCCCAGTTATTTACAGCCCGGACATGTTCCACTCAGCACGGCAGAAAGATTAATAAGAAAATCCCCGCCGTCCAGCTCACCAGCAAAATGATGCAATGCAGAAGGAAAGGGGACGGTGTGGGAGGAGGAAAAGAGCAGACGCCAGGCATGTGTTCCTGGTTTTGACGTTCTTAGAGAGGTCGCGTCCTGAAGGGGCAGCTGGAGCGAGCTTTTCATCCCCGCTTTCTCTGGGCCAGGTCAGTCTCCCTTTGCCACGGTGGTGGTGCAGTCTCCCGGTGAGCCTCGCTTCCCTGCTCTCCTTGCTGGACTGCAAGCTCCTTGGGGCAAGGACATATCCCCTGGCACTCTGAGCTACATAACCCCACTGAGTGCGTTTGCGCACATGTTCAAGTGATCTGTAGTTCTCGCCGAAGATTTTGCAACTGGCGCAGCGCTGTGCTTGCGGCAGTCCTGGGCCAGGAGTGCTTTTTTATGTCAGGGGACCCTGTGGCGGGGGCAATGCTCTTTCCCGAGAGCACCAGCAATGTACGGCTTCTTGGACCTGCCATTTTAAATCGCACATGGCGCCCTCACAGTAGCACGGTGGTTCCTCTTTCGCTTGAGCACAGACCTGTGTGTCAGATGTGGCTGCCGGTGGTGCGGGAGGAGGAAGAGGAAGAGGAAGTGGGCATTCGGTGGGCAGGCCAAAGGCACCCAAAGCTGTGGCCCAAACTTGAAGCACGCCAGCATCTTCGTAGCAGGAGCCGCCAGCGTCTCGCTTCTGTACCTCTGCGTCAGGCGGAACTGGGCGGTTGCTTCAGGCAGCCAACGGTGCAGGGCGGAAGCGGTAGCAAGACGTTAGGGGGCAGAACGGCATGCCCCTCCAGCCCGCCCTGAGCCCCCGCAGCTCTTCTGCCTCTGGAGATGCTGTGCCCTCGCTCACCTGAAGATTTTCAACTGCCCGTCCATTTCCAACTGCGGACTAGGAGAAAGGGCCTTCCTAAACTTAATCCCGGGGTCAAGGACAAGCCCTGCTTCGGGATTCCTCCTCTCCACCCTGCCCCTTGCGACTAAAACACAGCGGCTTTTTCCAGGAACTTGGGTGAGAACGGCATCTGTGCATGGGCAGTGGCAGGGAGGAATTTTCCTGGGGGAAAGAACAGGAAACAGCGAAAAAGGCCGGATCAGCGCTGGAGTGGCAGAGTTGGCCCCGAGTCAAACAATGACGGAGCAAAGAGCAGAGCAAACCAAGACATCCTTTATGCCTTGGCCTTCCTCGGAAGGAGTCAGGGGTGGCACGCATAGACTTCGCGCTGTTTTCTCCTCACAACAACCCTGTGAGGTAGGCTGGGCAGGAGCTATTCGTTCTCCCATCTGCTGTCTCTTCATCAGATGCATGTTCTGCTTTCCACAGTCAAGTCCTCAGCGCAGCCTGTGAGCCTCGTGGCTGACACAGGAACCGATGAAACCGGAAGCCCGGAAGCCAGAAATCCAAAACAGCTGGAGAGCTACTTTCTGCCCACTCTTTCTGACACCTGCAACTCTAAACTCTTTGACCTCAGTGGTGCGCAGATGGTAATTTCCAACTGCCTGAGACTTCAGCTCCTGGCTTTCCTGACCACTGGGCATGCTCACCGGGGCTGCTGGGAGTTGGAGTCCCAATCAACTGGACCCCCCCCCCAACAAATTTGGGAGGGTCACTTTGCAGGTAGGGACGTTCTAGAGGATGGTCTGAATGCGGACGGAGTCCTGGGCTGTTGTTCTGGGAGAATTCTGCACTGCGTGGGTTGTCAGACCCAGTGAGAGAGCCCGCAGTGTGTGGCTGTGAACCCTGGACTGCGTGCGGCTCACAGTCCAGAGGCTCACAGTCCAGAGCTCCGGCTTGGCTCCCAGCGGCAACCCACGAGTCAACAGATCACAGTCCAGTAAGCCCAGGTGTGCTCGGTCCCGCGCAAGGCGGGCCTGTGGGTCGAGCAGGGGCCGCTGCGGGAGGGCCAGCGCCCCACTCCGCCCCGACGCGGGGCCGCGGCTCGCGAACCCCCCCCCCCAGCCCGCAGCGCAGGGGCCTCGCCTCAGAGCCCGCGGTCGCAGCACGACCCATGTGCCTGGGCTGTGGCTCCCTCGAGCCGCGCCTGCGCTGCTGCGGCCGGGATGGCGGGTGGGAAGGCGGCTGCGTCCCCCGCGCCCCCGCCTGCCCCCCGCTCCCTCCCCTCTCGGCGCCCTCCCCGCGCTGGCTGCAGGCGGGGCCGGCGCCGCCTCCCGGGGCCGCGCACCGCCCGTCGCCGCGCGCCCCTGCGGCCTCTCCGGC